TGTGTCATGAGCATGGTGGTGGCCCTACCAAGATTAGGAAAACTCTTGGTCTGGCTGCTTCTACTGTGGCTTTTACTCAGCTCACCCTTGCTTTCCTCCTTGAGATGATGAACCCAGACTGCCCTCCTATTAGGTAATGTAACAAAATTACACAGTATTTTATTAATTTATTTTTATCATGTGTTAGGTAATAGAGTACAGCCCTTGTGTATCTGGCCAGTGGAGGAAACATGTTGCTTGTGGCTCCCTTGAACATAAACTATTTTTACATTTTTACAGTACAATTATTGGTCATTCTGAAATTTATTTAACATATTGACAATATATATAGTGCAGTGCAGTGTTGATTTAAAGAAAATAATCTTGAATTACACCTAGTGAACTTAAAATTTTATTGGTGAAATGACGGCATCAAGAATGGGTCCCCTGAAAGGTGATTTCTCCACCCCCACTTCCTTCTCTTCTCCCTTCTCCTCCTCCACCCCCACTTCTAATTCCCATCATCATCAACCAGGAGCCTTCTACATACACACCTCAAAGTAAGTGTACTTTACTCGTTTTTTTTTTTACTTTGTATATAATTTTCAGTGAGCTGGAACCAATTACCCAAAATCCAATTGAAACAATGGATTCGGTTAACGAACGACCATCTGGAACGAATTGAGTTTGTTAACCGAGGGACCACTGTAGTACAGTATCTCTTATTATTACTGTACTGTTATATGAGTTAATACAGTATAGTACAGTATCTCTCACTGTACTACATGAGTTAATATAGTACAGTAGTTAAGGTACTTACTGTATGTAAACCTGAACACATTAACTGATCCTCACCGTTGAACACCACAGGAGGAGATAGAGGAGGAGGAACCGGAGGAACTGGGAGACCATTGCGCCATGTCCAAGAAGGAAGTTGACTACACCGACAGCTTGACGGAGAAAGAATGGCTCCGTGCTATTGAGGTACGTATGGTAGTTACCACGTTCTCGTAACAATGTCTTGGGGACAATTGGCGTCGTTTTTTATATATGTGATGTATTCTGGTGTGAAATATTATTAAAGACTTATAATTATCTGCCTCGCAACAACAACAACAACAACAACAACAACAGCATCGCGATTAGTGGGAATAATAATTGGGAGCCAAGTGGTACTGCCGTTAACTTGAGAGTAAACAACTTTTAATGTTGTTAGAAAATATAAAATGGATCTGTAAGAAATGGCAGCAGACATTGTAACCAAGTTTGTATTTTACCATTTATGATAGAGATCAACTTATATTAATGCTGCTGCTACATTAATTACTACTGCTACATTAACTAATGCTACATTAACTAATGCCACATTTACCACTACTGCTACATTAACTACTACTGCTACATTTACCACTACTCCTGACTGTTAGTGGGTACAATTATAAATATTTTTTATAACATGCAGGCTGTTGAAGAGGATGGTAAAGAGGTAAGAGATGGTGTGTGTAAATCAATCTATCTTTGTCTGTCTGTTTGTTTGTGAATGTATGTCTTTGATTTATACTTGTGTCAATTAAATCTTCAGTAAATAACAAAAAAAATGAGTAACTGTGTGTATTATTTTCGTCTATAGTAGTTAAATTAGTGTGTGTAGAGACATGTACGCACAGGTAAGTTTATGTATGCACAGGTAAGTTTTTGTATGCACAGGTAAGTTTTTGTATGCACAGGTAAGTTTATGTATGCACAGGTAAGTTTATGTATGCACAGGTAAGTTTATGTACGCTTAGGGATGTTTATATACGCACAGGTAAGTTTATGTACACACAGGGTAGCTAATATAGAACTTTGATTTTCAGCAAGTTCAATAGTTCAGTGTTATTTAGTGTATTATTGAACAGTACCAGGTATTATTGAACAGTACCAGGTATTATTGAACAGTACCAGGTATTATTGAACAGTACCGGGTATTATTGAACAGTACCAGGTATTATTGAACAGTACCAGGTATTATTAAACAGTACCGGGTATTATTGAACAGTACCAGGTATTATTGAACAGTACCGGGTATTATTGAACAGTACCGGGTATTATTGAACAGTACCGGGTATTATTGACCAGTACCAGGTATTATTGAACAGTACCAGGTATTATTGAACAGTACCAGGTATTATTGAACAGTACCAGGTATTATTGAACAGTACCAGGTATTATTGAACAGTACTGGGTATTATTGAACAGTACCAGGTATTATTGAACAGTACTGGGTATTATTGAACCCATGTGTAGCCAGTGTGTGTGGCTACATAATATGGTTCACTGTAGTAATATGGCCCACACTACAGTACTGAAGGCCATTGTTGTAAGGTATAGTACATAAAATACAATAGGGCCTGTATAAAAAAAATTTGATTTACCAGAAGGGCATTTTATTTATTTATTTTTCGCTCAGTTTAGTGAACTGATTCTCAAAATCAAGCGAAAATTACGAAAATTGATTTAGTGGAAATTTCTTTTTATCAGAAAGGGTTGGCTCGAATTAGTTCATTAATCCTGGACCTCATACAACCTTTATATCGCATCTCTTACTATGTGGGGTGAAAAGTGATCCTGAAATATGGATTACCTCTACTTATATAATGTGTGATCAGATCCTGGTGCCACATTCTGTCGTGAACTGTTAACTGTTGTGTACTGTTAACTGTTGTGTACTGTTAACTGTTGTGTACTGTTAACTGTTGTGTACTGTTAACTGTTGTGTACTGTTAACTGTTGTGTACTGTTAACTGTTGTGTACTGTTAACTGTCGTGTACTGTTAACTGTCGTGTACTGTTAACTGTCGTGTACTGTTAACTGTTGTGTACTTTGATGTAGTTTTACTATGTTGTGGTTTACCTGTGGTCTTTAAGGTGTGTTTTACCTGTGGTCTTTATGTGTTTTACCTGTGGTCTTTATGATGTGTTTTACCTGTGGTCTTTATGATGTGTTTTACCTGTGGTCTTTATGATGTGATTTACCTGTGGTCTTTAAGGTGTGTTTTATCTGTGGTCTTTATGATGTGTTTTACCTGTGGTCTTTATGATGTGATTTACCTGTGGTCTTTAAGGTGTGTTTTACCTGTGGTCTTTATGATGTGTTTTACCTGTGGTCTTTATGATGTGTTTTATCTGTGGTCTTTATGATGTGTTTTACCTGTGGTCTTTATGATGTGTTTTACCTGTGGTCTTTATGATGTGTTTTACCTGTGGTCTTTATGATGTGTTTTACCTGTGGTCTTTATGATGTGTTTTACCTGTGGTCTTTATGATGTGTTTTACCTGTGGTCTTTATGATGTGTTTTACCTGTTGTCTTTATGATGTGTTTTACCTGTGGTCTTTATGATGTGTTTTACCTGTGGTCTTTATGATGTGTTTTACCTGTGGTCTTTATGATGTGTTTTACCTGTGGTCTTTATGGTGTGTTGTACTTGTGGTCTTTATGATGTGTTTTACCTGTGGTCGTTATGGTGTGTTGTACCTGTGGTCTTTATGATGTGTTTTACCTGTGGTCTTTATGATGTGTTTTACCTGTGGTCTTTATGGTGTGTTGTACTTGTGGTCTTTATGATGTGTTTTACCTGTGGTCTTTATGGTGTGTTGTACCTGTGGTCTTTATGATGTGTTTTACCTGTGGTCGTTATGGTGTGTTGTACCTGTGGTCTTTATGATGTGTTTTACCTGTGGTCCTTATGGTGTGTTGTACCTGTGGTCTTTATGATGTGTTTTACCTGTGGTCTTTATGATGTGTTTTACAAGTGGTCTTTGTAACTACCACACACTGGTGACCTTAATAAACTTACTTCAGGCCATGGAAGAAAAGGAGGAAGAGGTAACTAGCAGTAAGAACAAGAGGACCTCAAAAGGCAAGCGTAAACAACAGGACGACCTGGATAACGATGACGACCCCAAACCTAAGAAACAGGGTCGTCCGGCCAGGGAAAAACCCGCGCCCAAAAATAAACGCATAATTCGTCAGCTGAAGCGACAGGTCAGTGAGTCAATCAGTTAGTCAGGCAGTCAGTTAGTCAGTCAGTCAGTCAGTCAGTCAGTCAGTCAAGTCGTCTTTTATGCCTACAGTAAGCTAACCTTGACTATATATTGTGTTATCTCACATTATTTACACACGTTATTTACATAAATTATTGATATTATACATTATTTATGCACATTATTTACATATTATTTAGACATTATTTACACACGCTATTTAGACATTATTTACACACGCTATTTAGACATTATTTACACATTATTTACGCACATTTTTCACACAATATTTACACACATCGTGGAGATAAAATTTTTACTATATAATAAAAATCTCTATCATTTTTGGGGGAGGTTTCATTTTCCTCCTCCCCAAAAAACTAACCTAACCTAACCTACCCTGCCCTAACTAATCTAACCTGCCCTAACTAACCTAACCCCATACTCTCTCTCACCTATTATAACAATTCTCTAAACAATAATAACACATAATACTTTACTTGGTATCGTAAGAATCTTGTTCCCATTGTCTTATTTATTTATATTTTTTAAGGGGAACTATAAATATTTGATCTTTTTTTTTTGAGGGGGGGGGGGTGTATTTTCTTAGCACCGTTAATATAATGTAACTCTTCCACACAGCGACGGGCGGGTACTGAGCGAACCGTTCATGAAGTTACCGTCCCGTCGAGAACTGCCGGATTACTACGGGATAATCAAGAGGCCTATGGATATTTGCAAGATCCTATCCAAGATTGAGGAAGGAAGGGTAAGTTTGATGTATAAACAGCAGATTAAAACAACAAACGCACTCCATTATTGCCTCTCGTTTCACGGTGTTTGGAAGTAAGAGTAAATGCTTCAGAACAGTTTATATTACCTGTGTTGATGTATAAACAGATTAAAAACAAATGTAATCCACCATTGCTTCTTAATTTGATGGTGTTTTGGTTATTGAGGTGTTTGGATGTGAGAGTAGTTGTTTGAGTACAGTTTATATTACCTGTGTTTTATTTAGGATTTTTTGAAGTGATATAAACACAGTATCCAAGAATTTATCAGATACTGGAATAAGTGTCTGGTCAGGTTAGATTAAGTTAGGTTGGGGTAGGTTAGGTCAGGTTGGGGCAGATTATGTCAGGTCAGGTTAGGTTAGGGTAGGGTAGATTAAGCCAGGTCAGGGTAGATTATGTCAGGTCAGGTCAGGGTAGATTATGCCATGTCAAGGTAAATTAGATCAGGTCAGGTGAGGCTGCATTAGGTTAGGCTACTTTAGGTTAGGTTTAGTTAGATTTGGTTAGATTGATTTAGCTTTGGTGATGTTAGGTTTGATTACATTTAAACTGCATTATATTAGGTTAGGTTAAATTAGAAGATTCAGAGGTTGGTTAGGTTAGAACAGGGGTCACCAAACTTTTTTCACAGTGGGCCGGATAACTGAAAGAATGACGAGCGCGGGCCGCATAATCATTCTGTTCAATACTTGCAAGCCAGAACGAAAGCTCTGGTAACGTCAGAGCGTAGGCGGAGCTACCACGAGCCGGGGAAGGACTTGGGATCCGGCCCGCGGGCCGTAGTTTGGTGACCCCTGGGTTAGAAGATAAAGAGGTTGGTTAGGTGAGGTTACATTGAGTGAAGTTCACTGGGGTTAGGTTAAGTGGGAGTATTTAGCTAGTTATGTGGTTATCACGTACACACAGCCTTAACTAATACAGTATGTAGGTAGTTACGACACACACATGACCACACCATACACTAATCATCACAATATTTTAGAATCACAGACAGAGTTACTTAATACCCCCATCATTAATCCAAGCCTGAGAGCTAAACCTAACGACCACCTGCCCGTTTTCAGTACGAGGACGCTAACGACCTGCAGAGCGACTTTGTTCTCCTGTGTCGCAACGCCCAGGAGTACAACGAGGAGGCTTCTGTGATCTTTGAGGACTCGATAATTATGCAGAGCGTCTTCTTCAACGCCAGGGAGCGCATGGAGGCAGAGGTTGATACTTTCCCTGAAGAAGGTACGTCAGTCAGTCAGTCAGGGAGTTGGTCAGTCAATCAGTAGTTCCTGTCAACAGTTTATATCCTGAAGAAAAATGGTAGAGTTATTGTTATGGTAGCTCAGTCAGTCAGTGGTGTTGTTATTACTCAAGTATATTTTATTATTACAGAAGAGGAAGATGATGAAGAAGAAGAGGAAGACAGTAGAGGAAAGGAGGGGAAGAAAAATAAGAAGGATAAAAGCCGAGGCAGGAGGAAAAGAGTAAAATATGCCGATGATTCTGAGGATGTTGATGACGATGATGATGACGTGAGTAATAAAAAAGAAACAGAGTGAAGCTTTTAAATTAGCCCCTAAAAATGTAAGCAAAAAACGTAAACCAAAATGGGGTTAAAAATTGAGTGGAATTTTTTTTTCATCGCCAGTTTTTATTTTTATTATTATTATTTTTATGCCGTTTGTGTTAGTTATTGTAGTAGTTAATTGTGTTTGTATTTATATATTAAGATAAATGTTTGGTTGTATCAGCAGCTCTATGTATGATGGTCTTACTGATTGAGAGAGGGAGGAGAGAGAGAGAGACTTTATAACCCAGTCTCAGCTTATGACTTTTGGGCTTTATAATAAAACAAACAGATATATGTTTAACTTTATATTTTTCTTAACATCTCATCATGATCTACAATATGTGGTGCAGTATGTGGTACAGTATGTGGTACAGTATGTGGTACAGTATATAGTACAGTATATATATGGTACAGTATATGGTACAATACAATACAACTTTTCCACTCAAAAAAACTCCTCTATAAGTTTTCTTTTGTGTGAGTCAAGTTATTTTTTATTATATTATTTTTAATAGGTTTTACTTTTAATGAAACTTCCTTAAAATTAAAAACCAAAAACCCCCCCAAAATTTAATTATATTTCTATCAATGAATATTTTCCACAGTCATTAATTATAATTTTTCCTTTGTGTTCCCACCATACATGAGACCTTATTATGTTCATCAAGTTATACCATTAGATAATATTCTTTAACTAGTGGTAAAATATCTCTTCTGTCACACACCATTATAGTTTGTACACCCGGTGAGCTGTCTTATTTAATCTCTCTGTTTAGTGATTTTGTTTTTTTTTTATACCTTTTCAGTGATGTGTGTTTGTCTGGCATCGGGTTGAAGATGTGAGAGATCGAGGCAGAGTTTACTGTCGGCTTGATTATTTAAGATCTTGAAGTAATGTAATAATTTAAAATGATCTCATCTCTAGAGTTCTGTCCTCTCAGAAGTTATTGTCAAGGAAACTATAAAATTGTCCTCTGTCAGAAATTATTATCAAGGAAACTTGCAATGAAGGATCATTGTAGGTATACCAAGTCCTTGATATAATTTTAGCAGAGAAAGTATACAAGGCACGAATGAGGGGTGACAGCTGTGAGTCCTGGAGCAAGGAACATTGTTTACTAAAATGTCTCGCGGAACTTAACACTTAATTACGTATGTTTTGTTATGACGCGTACATAATGTAGGGTAGGGTAGCACCAGTTGGGGGTGGGATGATTATCTTGTATACTAAAACAGACTTAGTAGAATGTTGATGAAATAGTGTTGTGAGATTGTCTGGTACTAGTTGTTGTTCATGACTTTTTCTCGTGAAGTAATGTTTAGAATTATTTAATATATTTGGTGTAGTGTTAATAGTCCCCAGGTTATGTGTACACTATATAGCTTGATGTAAAGAGGACTTAAGTGACGCCTCTTACAAGTGGTGCAAATAATCTTTTAAAGTGGTGCAAATTATTATTATATTTTTATTTTTTTACTTCTTTTTTTCTCTTTAGGATATAGATAAGTTTAATTATACTGATTCTATTAAATAAAAAAAATAGCTAATAAAGGCAGAGTGGAGAATTGATCAATAAACAATAATAGCTAATAGAAACAGGTGAAGAATTGATCAAAAGAGAGATGTTTCTTTACGATCTACCCCTTACCTTAATCCGAGAGAGAGAGAGAGAGAGAGGCATCTGATCTCTCATTCCTCATAGACATTCCGATGTTATGATATACGTTGGTAAAGTAATGGCTGCTGTAGAGTTTGTCGGTGAGTCTCATTAAATTAATCGTAAAACATTTTGCTGTGAAATTAACTCTACATATTTAATTTAACTCTACATATTTAAATTAACTCTACATATATAAATTAACTCTACATAATTAATTTAACCCTACATATTTAAATTAATTCTACATATTTAAATTAACTCTACGTATTTAAATTAACTGTATGTATTTAAATGTCAGAATATTGTGGTAGAAGTAGTTATACACAATATAGTCTTTTACTTAAATAAAAAAAGATCAAAGGTTTTCTTCTTTTTTGGGGCTTAAAGGCAAAAAAAATTATACTGGAATGGTGGTGATGGTATTATATTATGGTGTAGGAATGAAAGAATTTGTTTGTGGTCGTCCCATCTTGGGATAAACTGTACTGTCTGATACACAGTCACTTACCTACAGTTACTGGTTGTGGGATAAACTGTACTGTCTGATACACAGTCACTTAACTACAGTTCTGGTTGTGGGATAAACTGTACTGTCTGATACACAGTCACTTACCTACAGTTCTGGTTGTGGGATAAACTGTACTGTCTGATACACAGTCACTTAACTACAGTTCTGGTTGTGGGATAAACTGTACTGTCTGATACACAGTCACTTAACTACAGTTCTGGTTGTGGGATAAACTGTACTGTCTGATACACAGTCACTTACCTACAGTTCTGGTTGTGGGATAAACTGTACTGTCTGATACACAGTCACTTACCTACAGTTCTGGTTGTGGGATAAATTGTACTTTCTGATACACAGTCACTTAACTACAGTTCTGGTTGTGGGATAAATTGTACTGTCTGATACACAATCACTTACCTACAGTTCTGGTTGTGGGATAAATGGCACAATAAAAGCAATAATAAGACAAAGCAGAAAATGCTCACTTCCACAGCAGGTATCTTGAGAGCCACTGATTCTTTGAAGCAGACTGAGCATTGGTGAAGATCCAGTGTTTGCCATTTAATATGGAATCCTTAGTACATGACTCAGTGATGGGGCTGAGTAGCTCATCCAACTCATGAATGGTAAAGCCCCAGGAGACGGTAGGTTTCCGCCTCAGAATACAGTAGGATTCTGCCTCAGAATACGGTAGGATTCTCTTAGAATAGGGTAGGATTCTGCCCCAGGAGATGGTAGGATTCCGCCTCAGAATACGGTAGGATTCCGCCTCAATACTGTAGGATTCTGCCCCAGAAGTCGGTAGCATCCCGCTCCAGGAGATGGTAGGATTCCGCCTCAGAATACGGTAGGATTCCACCCCAGAAGACGGTAGGATTCCGTCCCAGAATAGGGTAGGAATCTGCCCCAGAAGACGGAAGGATTCCGCCTCAGAATACGGTAGATTCTGCCTCAGAATACTGTAGGATTCCGCCTCAGAAAACAGTAGGATTCCGCCTCAGAATGTGGTAGGATTCCGCCTCAGAATGTGGTAGGATTCCGTCCCAGACTAGGGTAGGATTCTGCCTCAAAAGACGGTAGGATTCCGCTCCAGGAGACGGTAGGATTCCGCCTCAGAATGCGGTAGCATTCCGTCCCAAAATAGGGTAGAATTGTGCCCCAGAGGACTTTAGGATTCCTCCCCAGAATACGGCAGGATTCTGCCCCAGGAGAAGGTAGGATTCCGCCTCAGAATACGGTAGAATTCCACTCTAAGAAACGATAGGATTCCGCAACAGAATACAGTAGGATTCCACCTCAGAATACAGTAGGAGTCCGCCTCAGAATATGGTAGAATTCTGTACCAGGATCGGGTATGATTCTTCCCCAGAAGACTGTAGGATTCCACCTGAGAATGCAGTAGGATTCTGCCTCAGAATACTGTAGATCTGCCATCTATACTTCTTGTATTTAATAGCGGTCAGTATTTTCTCCGTACTATCATACGTTTCTTTCACACCTACAGAATGCGCAACTGGAACTGAGGGCTTCTGGTTCCCATTATGCAACAATACTGCTTTCAAACTAAACTTGGAGGAATCTACGAAAAGCCGCCATTCCTTTGGGTCATGTTTTTCTCCCAACTCTGACATCAGTCCATCTACATCGGTACACACACACGGAGGGAATCCTGCAAACTGTATAATGAATGTTGAGTAAACACTGAGGAGCTCGGGCACAGGAGCTCTGAGGAACTTGGGACGGTGGAGGAGGTGGAAACGGAAATTGGAGGATTTGACAGCTTCACTGACATGTGTTTTCCAATTTAGTTTGTTATCTATAGTGGCGCTAAGGAGCTTAGTGGAGTCTACAACCTGGAGTGTGTTGGGGCCTAAAGTAATAGAAGGGGGTGGGACAACGTCAGAGAAGAGGTTGATGTACATAACCATGGTCTTGGTATGGTTGATGGTGACATGGTTGTTGGTGGAGGGCGGTGTAGTTGGGAGCTGAATTGTTGACACTGATCTCAATGGTGGAGTCGTCGACATATTTCCAGCGAGCAAGGGTTTCTCTTAGGGCATCTGTACTGCGCACATCATAGTCATTCCTAAAAAAAAACCCTCTAATTCATATTACGCTACATAACATTCAAATCCACCGCGCTTGTAGAATTTCAGAAAACGGGAAACATTGTTAAAGGATAACTCGCCTACTCAATGTTACTGAATCATTTGTTAAATTGTACCCAGGTACGGTTATATAATATTACTTGTATGTATTCACAGCATTAAGGAGAACTCTAAGGTATCTATAAGAGGATTGGGAAAGTCCAGTTGATCCGGACTAGTGCACTTTAGGACGAAGTGTAGATCGTGGTTTGAAGGTCATACTATTTACGTCTGTTAACGTTTAGCGAACAAAACTTCTGCAGATATTATATGAAAATACATGAGAACCATGATCTGGAAAAAGGATAAATATCAGAACGATGTGAGGTGTTGGAAGTGACCCAGAAACTATACTTGAAAGGAAATATCTTGTATGCATCGGTGTGAACTTAATACACCTCATATCCTCGGGTGACGTATACCCACGACATGTAGAGTGATCAGAGAATCTTATGTCTGTGTTCAAATAGTGCAATGTGTGAGAGGAGGATCCCTAATTACAGTTTTAAGTGAAGTGGATAAACCCACGCTATGAACATTCAGCTTTTGTTTTAGGGTGGCATCCTTTGTGCCCGGCCTACAGGTGTGAGTTGAATGATATAGCCCAATTGATTTCCCCAAGAATGGTCAAACCTGAACCGTATTCTAGTATGTAAGTTAGGATTAAAATATGTATTTATAAGACATGAGGTTACAATGTACAGGAAAGTGTTCATGTGAGAACCATAAGAAATCAAAGTGATATATATATATATATATATATATATATATATATATATATATATATATATATATATATATATATATATATATATATATATTTATATATATTTATATATATATATATTTATATATATATATATTTATATATTTATATATATATATTTATATATTTATATATATATATATTTATATATTTATATATATATATATTTATATATATATATATTTATATATATATATATTTATATATATATATATTTATATATATATATATTTATATATATATATGCTGCTGCTGTATGTATATATAAAACATGCAGAAGCAGTCAACATGATTTGAGGTAATGGCATGTGTACAAGCTGGGAAAATTTTGTAATTAAGAAGATTTGTAACCAGGTGAGAAGGCCGGGTCACCTGACCATCTGACCTGACCACCAACCGTTGTGTGCTATTTAAAGATTAGTAGGGTCATTACCTAATACCTGACCATTGTGGACCTCGTCTCACCCTCCTCTGTATATATACACCTTGGTTTGTATTTCTCTCTCTAGTCTGTACTCACCCCTGAAGATGTGAATTACACGAAAGCGCTTAGGAACTTCGTTTTTTCTTCTTTCCTTGTGGTTATCAGCATATATATATATATATATATATATATATATATATATATATATATATATATATATATATATATATATATATATATATATATATATATATATATATATATATATATATATATATATATATATATATATATATATATATATATATATATATATATATATATATATATATATATATAATGGGAAATATCAGTTTTCCGGGAAAGTAGATTATCATAGAAAACGGGAAATTTGTAACAGAAAATGGGAAAATATCTATCTGGGAAAGTTGGTGATCTACTTATTACAGAAACCGGGAAATTTGTATCATAGAAAATGGGAAAATATCTACTTTCCGGGAAAGTTGGTTATCTACTTTCCCGAAAAGTAGATTATCTACTTTTCAGGAAAGTAGATTGTCAACTTTTCGGGGAAGTTGATTATCGACTTTTGGGGAAATATTACCTAATTTTCTGAAGTAGATTATCATAGAAAATGGGAAATTTGTATTACAGAAAATGAGAAATATCTACTTTCTGTGAAAGTTGGTTGTCTACTTATCACAGAAAACGGAAAGTTTGTATCATAGAAAATGGGAAATACCTACTTTCTGGGAAAGTTGGTTATCTACTTTCCCAAAAAGTAGATTATTTGCTTTTCGGGAAAGTAGATTATCGACTTTTCGGGGAAGTAGTGTAGTGGATTTCTCCCCTACAAACGCTGTTTGTCGCTGCGTAGCCGACCCCACCAATTCCCCAGTGTATGCCTCGTGGCCTAGGTCAACCAGCGCCGCCATACATCACGGAGCGGGGGTCAACTGCTAAGCCACGCCAACCCCCGCTATTTAAGACCTGACCTCTTGGTGATCTCTCTCTTTCTACCTACACAAACCAGCCAGCAACACCTCCTCCTCCTCCTCTGCCTGCCTGGCGGTCCTTGCTCCCGCCGGCGAGCATGGCGACCCACAAGCGGGTCCTCCTCTGAGCATCCTCACCAATCAGCTCTCTCTACATCACGCTTGTAACTATGCTGCCTTCCCAGCACCAAGCTGCATTGTACATCCAATACAACATGTATACAGAGAGCACATCATGAGTTTCCTTTCTCCATTCCTTCCTGAGTGTGAACACAAATATCTCATACCCCACAGTAGATTATCGCTTTTGGGGAAATATTACCTAATTTTGCAAAATAGATTATCATAGAAAACGGGAAGCTTGTATTACAGAAAATGGGAAATATCTACTTTCTGGGAAAGTTGGTTATCTACTTTGCCAAAAAGTAGATTATGTACTTTTCAGGAAAGTAGATTGTCAACTTTTTGGGGAAGTAGATTATCGACTTTTGGGGAAATATTCCCTAGAAAACGGGAAATTCGTTTGTATCACAGAAAATGGGAAGTATCTACTTTCTGGGAAAGTTGGTTATCTACTTATCACAGAAAACGGGAAATTTGTATCACAGAAAATGGGAAAATATCTACTTTCCGGGAAAGTTGGTTATCTACTTTCCCAAAAAGTAGATTATCTACTTTTCAGGAAAGTAGATTGTCGACTTTTCAGGGAAGTAGATTATCGACTTTTGGGGAAATATTACCTAATTTTCTGAAGTAGATTATCATAGAAAACGGGAAATTCGTATCACAGAAAATGGGAAATATCTACTTTCCGGGAAAGTTGGTTATCTACTTTCCCGAAAAGTAGATTATTTATCTACTTTTCGGGAAAGTAGATTATTGACTTTTTGGGGAAGTAGATTATCGACTTTTGGGGAAATATTACCTAGTTTTCCGAAGTAGATTATCATAGAAAACGGGAAATTTGTATCACAGAAAATGAAATGCTCTACTTTCCGGGAAGTGGTTATCTACGAAGAAGTAGATTATTTATCACTGGGAAGAAATGGGTAATGACTTTTTGGGGAAGTAGATTAATATCGACTTTTGAGGAAATATTACCTAGTTTTTCGAAAATAGACCTATTATAGAAAACGGGAAATTTGTTTCACAGAAAATGGAAAATATCTACTTTCCGGGAAAGTTGGTTATCTACTTTCCCGAAAAGTAGATAATCTACTTTTCAGGAAAGTAGATTATCGACTTTTCGGGGAAGTAGATTATTGACGTTTTGGTAAAATATTACCTAATTTTCCGAAGTAGATTATCATAGAAAACGGGAAATTTGTTTCACAGGAAATGGGAAATATCTACTTTCCGGGAAAGTTGGTTATCTACTTTCCCGAAAAGTAGATTATCTACTTTTCAGGAAAGTAGATTATCGACTTTTCGGGGAAGTATAACTAGCACCAACTTTTGATAATACTACAATTTCCAGTAGATTATCATAGAAAACGGGAAATTTGTATCACAGAAAATGGGAAATATCTACTTTCCGGGAAAGTTGGTTATCTACTTTCCCGAAAAGTAGATTATATATCTACTTTTCGGGAAAGTAGATTATTGACTTTTTGGGGAAGTAGATTATCGACTTTTGGGGAAATATTACCTAATTTTCCGAAGTAGATTATCATAGAAAACGGGAAATTTATATCACAGAAAATGGGAAAATATCTACTTTCTGGGAAAGTTGGTTATCTACTTATCACAGAAAACGGGAAATTTGTATCACAGAAAATGGGAAAATATCTACTTTCCGGGAAAGTTGGTTATCTACTTTCCCGAAAAGTAGATTATCTACTTTTCAGGAAAGTAGATTATCTTCTTTTCAGGAAAGTATATTATAGACTTTTGGGGAAATATTACCTAATTTTCCGAAGTAGATTATCATAGAAAACGGGAAATTTGTATCACAGAAAATGGGAAATATCTACTTTCCGGGAAGGTTGGTTATCTACTTTCCCGAAAAGTAGATTATCTACTTTTCAGGAAAGTAGATTATCTTCTTTTCAGGAAAGTATATTATAGACTTTTGGGGAAATATTACCTAATTTTCCGAAGTAGATTATCATAGAAAACGGGAAATTTGCATCACAGAAAATGGGAAAATATCTACTTTCCGGGAAAGTTGGTTATCTACTTTCCCGAAAAGTAGATTATTTATCTACTTTTCGGGAAAGTAGATTATTGACTTTTTGGGGAAGTAGATTATAGACTTTTGGGGAAATATTACCTAGTTTTCCGAAGTAGATTATCATAGAAAACGGGAAATTTGTATCACAGAAAATGGGAAATATCTACTTTCCGGGAAAGTTGGTTATCTACTTTCCCGAAAAGTAGATTATTTATCTACTTTTCGGGAAAGTAGATTATTGACTTTTTGGGGAAGTAGATTATCGACTTTTGGGGAAATATTACCTAATTTTCCGAAGT